CCCGCCCCCCGGGGCCAGGAAGCCCCAGCACCCAGGCAATGCCCTCCTGGCCCACTGCGGCATATGCTACCTCCTCTTACCTCCACGACTCTACTCCCTCCTGGACCCTGTCTCCCTTCCAGGATGCTGTTTCCTCCTCCTCCTCTTCCTCCGCTGCTTCTTCCTCCTCCTCTACTACTGCTACGCCAGAAACTAGCACCAGCCCCAAATTTCGTAAGTATGCCCTGTCTCCACTGTGATTTACTCCTTCCTTGCCTTCCTGAACGCCCCCATCAACCCCCCCGCGCTGCTTCCCCATCTTCGCCGCCTACTTTCCAGCCTCAACTCCCAACCCAGGTTTGGGGCACTGGGAAACTGGATGAAACTCGCCCCAAGAGGGGAAAAGGTGCCCGCCTGCTGTTGTCTGCGAAGGACCGGGCAGCAGGAAGGGGCGTCGTCTAGTTTAGCGGGCCCGACTTCCCTGGGTCCCAAATGAGAACCAGTAACTCCTTCGCAGGAATTAAGGAGAGCGCTCCTCCTCCTTGCTGCAGGCCTGCTAGCCAGCGGCTGGGAGCCGCTCCCGTGGCGGGATGGGGAGGAGGGAGGCCCTTCCCAAGGCTTGTAGGTTGGCGAGGGAGAAGGGCACATGCAAATTGACGGACAAGTGGCCACCGTGGGAAGTGATGTCCGTGGGTAGAAGGGGTGGTTGGATAGAGATGTTGGCACAGGGTAGCAGAAGACGCTTCCACCAGCCTGACCCGGCCTGGGCTTGGGAAGGGTTAATTAGAAGCCATTGAAGGAAGTAGGGAAAGGAGGCGATCTGAAGCAGAGGGCTATACTGATCCCTGCCTCCCCCCCACCCCCCCCACCCCGTTCCTCCCACCACCGCCTCCACAGCCTTCCTGTGGCCATTCCAAGGTGTAGTGTGGACATTATCCTGTGTCCTCCCAGACCCAGAACTGAGGAAGAAGACTGGAGCGGTGCAGAGCTGCTGCCTCCGGTCCTGAGGAAGGAGGAGTTGTCTCAGCTCTGCCTAGCATTTGCTTTGTTCCTTTCCCAAAGGTGGGGTGTGAACCTCTCAGCTCCTCTCCCTGGAGCTTGGAAAAGACCGGGGGACAGGGACTTACTTCCCTGGGCGGCAGGATGCGGAAACCAAGCTCTTTAGAAACATCCGACCCTTGGAACTTCAGCTCAGTTGCTAGGCTGCCCATCTTGGCCAGCGTGTACCCCAATCATGATAGCTTTTTGTTTATTTGTGGGGGAACTATACCGTTTCGCCAGATTTCTATACACATGTCAGGCAACTGATTTACCCCGCCTTCCTGACCGTTTCCTTACTGAGGGAAACCAGGAACCTTTTCGGGATATGGGAACCGTTTGTGCAACCTGTGAAGGTTATCTAGGACAAACCCCTAGCCTGCTGGTTCAAATTCTGTGCCAGGCTAATCTGGGCACGCTTCTGGTTATGCTGTCTCTGTGTGTGTTTTGAGCCCGAACATCTGGGGGGACAGAAACAGGGCTCCTCATGAAGTCTTCAGTGGGGAGTGCCAGGTTTGCTTCAGGTCATCTTGAAATTCTCCTTTTCCCCGATCTGTGTCCTACCTAGGGTTGTATTTAACCCTTGCAACTTTTAGACATTCATTTATTTTGGAGTGTGCTTGTGGGGAAGGCCCTAGTCAGAGAGAGGCCTTTATAATCATGCTCTGGGAAGCAGGGACGGAGGGTAGAAGGGAGTCTTGTCACCAGCCACTCACTTGTTTTCCTCTCCCTTGGCCAAAGCAATCATTTCTGAGAGCACATTTTCTCAGGAGGTGTTAAGAGGCTTGTCCCAATGAATCTAGCCTGAGTTTTGATTGTTTGGGGGGAGGGGTGGTGGTGGTGATGCTGGTGGTATTCATGAGGGTACATGCTTAAGTGTTCACTCGACAATGTGTGCATCCCTCCTGAAACGTGTGGCCTCCTTTTCTGATGCAGTTGATCCGTATAATGGCTTGTGCATGTCCTACCCACCTTGTCTAGGCCTGTGTGTGTGTGGAGGGGGAGGGCTGTTATATATTTGGGGGGCATTTCGTTTTCTTTTTCCATTGATTTCTTTGCCTTCCATTCGGAAGGTCTTTAAAGAAAACCCACGGTCATTATGCCTACCCCCTTAATGCTCCCCTCTTGCCTTCTGTAGAAGGGAATGGCAGCCTGTTTAATAAGTAATGATTATTGACAGGGCGCTGAGCCCCAAGGAAAAAGGGGAAAACGTAAGTGGTGTCAGTGTTCACATAGATATAGAAGCAGTGTTTGTTTTGTGTGTATCTGACTTCTTTCTCTTCTTAGCATCTTTAACAAGGAATTGAATTAAGGGATAAGAAAAATGGATGCATGCAAATCTAGCAGAAATTGACCTGGTTCGCATGTATCGACAAGGGGGATTTTAATGAAAGGGCTATTGTGTAGTTTCCATGAAAGGAGAGTTTCAATAGGAAGGTTTTATGGTCATCTAAAGGGAAAAAAGAGATAAGTTTGTTTATTTTTTTCCTGCCCGTGATTGCAGGATGATTAACAAAAGGAAATACAGATTTCAGTGGAGGGATTCCCAGCAGTGCTGCCGTGGACCGAAGATTGGCCTGAATAGCTGACCTTCACATTTGTCACTTGTTTTGATTATTTCAGTAAAGTTCCCAGGAGAGAAATCGCCTTTTCCCCAGCTCATACCTCCGGTATTTCATAGTTCCCCTCCCCCCGCCCCCTCTTTATTTTTCTTTCTTATATGAAAACTCATGGGCTGTTTAGTAGCAGCTGAGGACAGCAAAGGATGAGGAGGCTCTGCTTTTGATGTGTGTGTGTGTGTGTGTGTGTATCCCTGCTTTAATGGACAGGATCTTTGCTCTTGAATTGAACACCTCCAGGCTTGTAGAATGAAGGTCTTGGGGTAAAAAGACCCCTCTGTCAAGGCAACACAGCTCTCTGGAGGGGAAAAACGGGCTCACTAGAGATCGGAGCGCATTGCTAATGGATAATGGGGTTTCTGCAAGCAAAAGGTATTTTTACTGAGGGGTGGGCCCCATGAGGAGGGTTGTCTCTACTTTTCTGTAGGATGGAAGACAAAGAAAGATTGAGGCTGAGAAGCAGAGGGAGCAGGGTGTGGAAGTTGCCTCTTCTACGTCCCTCCGCCATCCTTTAGCCATAATCTGGACTGGAAGTTTCTCCTGAGTTACTGGGACTGCTTGAGTTACTAGATGCTCAGCCCTTGCCTTCCCTTTCAGGCACTTTAAAGGCCAGCATCTGAAGCATATTTTCATGAGCAGATTATGCTATTCAAAATGTCTACGCAATATTTTGTGCCTGAGTGTATAGGCTAGTTTTCTGTTTTTTCAAGCCCAAGAGGAGAGGGTCACTACAGATAGCAGCCAACAGTGATCTTGACCAGTGTACAAACTGCCCTTCCCTTTTATAGAACACCTTGAATTGTACTTGTTTTACGATTATAAACCTATTCGTACATGTCCTCAATGCAAATAAGGATTAATTTAGAGACCTGGAATTACTTTACTCTGCTGAAAGCAGTGCTTAACAGGTAAAAGATCAGAGTCTTAGGCCAAATTCAAGTACTGCAAATAGCCATGTGTAATGAGTTATTCGTTGAGTCATATTTGGAAGTTATGCAAGTTAATTCAGGGGAAAAGACCTCACAAATCTCAAATGGTATTTAGTGAATAAATAAAACACATTTTGATATTTAAATATGTTGGGAGGCGTTTGATTCCATCGAGTCTGTTGGAATAAAATCTTACCTATTGTCATTTTAAGAAAGCTATTGATAATGTCTGTTGTTTTTCCATTTGTTCTTAAACATATTCTGCCTTGTGATAAAGTTGTTCTTGGTTGCTTTATAAGCAGCCTGAGTTATACTTCGTTTAAATACTGGTACTCTTATTCACTAGCTTCTAGCTATGTGAGGTGAGACCTTCAGTGGAAATTCCAGCACGGGAGGAATTCACCCCAACCAATCATGCAGGTATCCAAAGTGAGAGGATTCATAACTCAAGACCACTTTCTTATGAAATCCAACTGAAAGCCTTTTTTTCCCTTTCCTTCTGGAGTACCTGCTGCCACTTGAGTATGTTTTGACTTCCTTTGGCCTTAATACACGATTAGGAGACATTCCTTCTTTAATCCATTATAGGATACAGTTTTGTTCTTCAGGCCCCTGAGTGGTCCTAAGGAAATGAAGGGAGGGTGGGTGGGGCACAGGCAGCGCTATTCTCAGGTCATTTTTATTTTGGTACCTGTGCATTAACATCATGTGCCTCCAGCATGTTTTCACAGCTCCGAGTACTGAATAATGACAAGGAATTGGAGATAAGGGATTGGAAGGTATCTTCCCTTTGGCAGATTTGATAAGTGATCTCAGCCACCTTTGTATTTGTCCTGTCCCCCGGATAGTGTTTTTTTTTATACACATAATGTTGCTCCAGATATTTGGGAGAACAGAAAAGAAGACAGACAAAACTCCAAAATAAACTGGCTTGGAACAACCTCTCTTCATCACTAAAGAGTCCGGTTTTTCTATAGGCAGGTCAGGCCTCAAGCTAGGGTGCTGGCATCCGGTGTGAAATCAGCTTCAGTGTGTAAAGGAGCAAGATCGCTCCCACCTCTTGTCATGGGAAGTGCTGGCCTAGCCCTGCATTCTGGCTTCTTCCTGTTCCTTTTGTAGAAATGGTTTCCTCATAACCTCTCATACCTAATGCCAAACATACCTCGTTTTTTTCCCCCGGTTGTGTCAAAAAAGGAATGTGGAAGTGGCCCTGATATAGGTAAGAGCAAAGGATGAGCCATAAATCTGAGTCTTCAGACTGCATGTGAGTGGTTTGTGAATAGGACATGAAATTCATTTTCCTCTCTTTGATTTTTTTTTTTAATCTTAAAACCTGTATGTTGAGTGAGGCTCAGAGCTGGTACTGCACTGGCAAATACCTCGGAGACATTTCCAGATCCTAGAAATTTTACTTGGCAGCATTCAGGAAAGACTTAGTACTTACAGAAGCACATGCATAGTGCAGGCATGAGGCAGAAATAGACTCCATTTGGAGCTTTGTCTTTTGAGAATGAAAACTACCTATAGATGTGTTTCTCATTCATGCAATTATTAATGAAAACCCTGGGACATTTAGCTTGGTTTAACATGGTCACCACACTTTCACTGTAGACCCAGTCTTTTATGGTATTGAACTACGGTGCTGTTC